TGTTTAACATGTCGAAAATTGAGTTGCGCTTTTCTATGTTCAATATTTCTGCGTAATTTTCGGTTTTAACAATGAAATTGGGTTTAATTTAAATTGCAACCAAAAACGTTTGCTTCTAAGTTTTTTCTCACATTTTTATGTACTTCATTTACCTTTAACATCTTTCAAAATAACTGTTTAAGATGTCGAAAATTGAGTTGCGCTTTTCTATGTTCAATATTTCTACGTAATTTTCGGTTTTAACAATGAAATTTAGTTTAATTTAAACTGCAGTCAAAAGCTGTTTCCTGTAGGTTATTCGCCACATTTGTATGTATTACATTCACCTTTAATATCTTTCAAAATATTTGTTTAACAACTCGAAAATTGAGTTGCGCTTTACTATGTTTATATTTCTACGTAATTTTCGGTTTTAACAAAGAAATTTGGTTTAATTTAAACTGCACTGAAAAACTGTTGCCTGTATATTATTCCTCACATATTTCTCTATCACATTCAACTTTAACATCTTTCAAAATAATTGTTTAACAAATCGAAAATTGGGTTGCGCTTTTCTTTCTTTAATATTTTCACGTCATTTTCGGTTTTAACAATGAAATTTGGTTCAATTTAAACTCCTGTGAAAACTGTTGCCTGTAGGTTATTCCTCACATTTTAATCTATCACATTCACCCTTAACATCTTTCAAATTAATTGTTTAACATGTCGAAAATTGAGTTGCGCTTTTCTATGTTCAATATTTCTGCGTAATTTTCGGTTTTAACAATGAAATTGGGTTTAATTTAAATTGCAACCAAAAACGTTTGCTTCTAAGTTTTTTCTCACATTTTTATGTACTTCATTTACCTTTAACATCTTTCAAAATAACTGTTTAAGATGTCGAAAATTGAGTTGCGCTTTTCTATGTTCAATATTTCTGCGTAATTTTCGGTTTTAACAATGAAATTGGGTTTAATTTAAATTGCAACCAAAAACGTTTGCTTCTAAGTTTTTTCTCACATTTTTATGTACTTCATTTACCTTTAACATCTTTCAAAATAACTGTTTAAGATGTCGAAAATTGAGTTGCGCTTTTCTATGTTCAATATTTCTGCGTAATTTTCGGTTTTAACAATGAAATTGGGTTTAATTTAAATTGCAACCAAAAACGTTTGCTTCTAAGTTTTTTCTCACATTTTTATGTACTTCATTTACCTTTAACATCTTTCAAAATAACTGTTTAAGATGTCGAAAATTGAGTTGCGCTTTTCTATGTTCAATATTTCTGCGTAATTTTCGGTTTTAACAATGAAATTGGGTTTAATTTAAATTGCAACCAAAAACGTTTGCTTCTAAGTTTTTTCTCACATTTTTATGTACTTCATTTACCTTTAACATCTTTCAAAATAACTGTTTAAGATGTCGAAAATTGAGTTGCGCTTTTCTATGTTCAATATTTCTGCGTAATTTTCGGTTTTAACAATGAAATTGGGTTTAATTTAAATTGCAACCAAAAACGTTTGCTTCTAAGTTTTTTCTCACATTTTTATGTACTTCATTTACCTTTAACATCTTTCAAAATAACTGTTTAAGATGTCGAAAATTGAGTTGCGCTTTTCTATGTTCAATATTTCTGCGTAATTTTCGGTTTTAACAATGAAATTGGGTTTAATTTAAATTGCAACCAAAAACGTTTGCTTCTAAGTTTTTTCTCACATTTTTATGTACTTCATTTACCTTTAACATCTTTCAAAATAACTGTTTAAGATGTCGAAAATTGAGTTGCGCTTTTCTATGTTCAATATTTCTGCGTAATTTTCGGTTTTAACAATGAAATTGGGTTTAATTTAAATTGCAACCAAAAACGTTTGCTTCTAAGTTTTTTCTCACATTTTTATGTACTTCATTTACCTTTAACATCTTTCAAAATAACTGTTTAAGATGTCGAAAATTGAGTTGCGCTTTTCTATGTTCAATATTTCTGCGTAATTTTCGGTTTTAACAATGAAATTGGGTTTAATTTAAATTGCAACCAAAAACGTTTGCTTCTAAGTTTTTTCTCACATTTTTATGTACTTCATTTACCTTTAACATCTTTCAAAATAACTGTTTAACATGTCGAAAATTGAGTTGCGCTTTTCTATGTTCAATATTTCTGCGTAATTTTCGGTTTTAACAATGAAATTGGGTTTAATTTAAATTGCAACCAAAAACGTTTGCTTCTAAGTTTTTTCTCACATTTTTATGTACTTCATTTACCTTTAACATCTTTCAAAATAACTGTTTAACATGTCGAAAATTGAGTTGCGCTTTTCTATGTTCAATATTTCTGCGTAATTTTCGGTTTTAACAATGAAATTTGGTTTAATTTAAATTGCAACCAAAAACGTTTGCTTGTAAGTTTTTTCTCACATTTTTATGTACTTCATTCACCTTTAACATCTTTCAAAATAACTGTTTAAGATGTCGAAAATTGAGTTGCGCTTTTCTATGTTCAATATTTCTGCGTAATTTTCGGTTTTAACAATGAAATTTGGTTTAATTTAAATTATAACCAAAAACGTTTTCTTCTACGTTATTCCTCACATTTTATGTACTTTATTTACCTTTAACATCTTTCAAAATAATTGTTTAACAACTCGAAAATTGAGTTGCGCTTTTCTATGTTCAATATTTCTACGTAATTTTCGGTTTTAACAATGAAATTTAGTTTAATTTAAACTGCAGTCAAAAGTTGTTTCCTGTAGGTTATTCGCCACATTTGTATGTATTACATTCACCTTTAATATCTTTCAAAATATTTGTTTAACAGGTCGAAAATTGAGTTGCGCTTTTCTGTGCTTAATATTTCTGCGTAATTTTTGCGTTTTAATATAATAAGATTATTATTTCTTCCTAAGAGAAGAAGCACCCCTATACATTCTTGATGTGTAAATGTTTAACAAGAGGGATATACTTTTTATAAATATGTAATAGAAGTGAATAGTATGCTATATATTTAATACGTACTGTACATAAGCAGTTGAAACACTTTTTAAAATTCGTGGTAACTTTGAGTTTTAGTTCAGGAACTCTCCGTACCATGCTCGTCGATTGCGCCAGCAGTCTTTTATTATCAACGAATGTGATTTTACGTTATATCCTTCAGTAAAACTCATGTTACAGGAAATCTAACGTAGAAATTAGGCTATTTTATGCATAAATCATTTGCAAAACAATGCCAATTGTGTGTAATTTTATCAATTATCTTTGTGCTCTGAAATTTTATAAGACGAGACTTTTACTGGTATTTACCAGTATTTTTTAATATTAAAAACAACATTTTTTTATAAGTATTTTTTAATATTCTTTCGGAAGATTCATTTGAAATTCATATTGGAAATTGGAACTTCTGATAATTAGAATCTTAAGTATATAATTACATTACTCTCCATGTCGAAAATTGAGTTGCGCT